TTCCGAGCGGCGAGTTTCCTCGCATCAATCCATCTCTGCAGAGCTCGGTTCTTGCCTGTGGTGTTTTGACGAGGAGGGTGCAGCACTCCCTCCCCGCGGTGCCCGCGGTCGTCTCCCTTCTCCCGCGAGCGGTGCTTACTGACGTGGTGTTTACGAATCTCTCTACTCCTCCAGCTTCGTGGGCCACGCTTTCCGCGACGGTGGTTGCCAGGTGCAGTTTGCCGCTTTGCATTACTGCCGCGGGAACAGAGTGTCCATACACACCTCTCGCCACTACCACCGTCTGTGCATCCTCACCGCCACGCTGAGCCAGCGTGGCGGTGAGTTGCACCTCGTCATGTTGTCCGGCATACTGTAGGTAAAATGTAACGGATCCGTTCACATTGATCCTCGAATGCAACCAGCAAGATATCTCAACCTTTTCTTGAGTTTTGTTCATATTTTACATACTACCCAAAAACAGGCCGGCCCTCGCGTAAAAAGCATTGTGTGCAGGAGGATTGCTGCATCTGGGCCATACAGAACTGCTTGTGGTTCATCTGCGAGATTCCCGAGCAAGAAGAACAGGTCCAACAGAAGCACAGGGTGGCAGCAACAGCAGTAGAATCAGAGCGCGCGCAGGACGGGGGGTACGTAGTTTGATGATGAGCTTTTAGAAAAGGACCCTTGACAACAGGTCAACTTGCTCCCACCCTCATCACGGGCATCGCGCCAAAGCAAGCCATAGTTGCTCAGACAAAAGCAGTGGGAGGTCTTCAAATCATCTCAGCTACTGTACACAGCACTACCCGCTGGTGGTTTCCCCAAGGTTCGCAGCGTGGGCTGATACCAGCTTTTGAGACCCCGATCGGTCAACAGGACTAAGCAAGTAGGTAACACGGACAGAAAAAAACATGCATCCGATGAGGGAGACCCAAGATGCGCAGCTTTCCTTCGCAAGATAGGTAACTTTTCTTCGCCGTAGCACAACGACCACCGGTATCTAACAAGTTTAGCTTCCCTCAGAGCTCAGCGGTTGGCAAAAAAAATAACCCGGCGCGGATTGCACACCACCACGAGCGGCAAAAAACACGCGCTTTGCATACGTGTAACCATGTAGGATAGGTTTGTACCTCTTACGTCCACGCAATAACATGTCGTCTGCGATACCACGCTCTTCACTAAAAGCGACACGCCTGCACGCGATACCACCGCAAGGGCATAGGCCTCTCGCAGACTGACTCTCTCCGGCCCGGCCCGATCTCTCTACCCCTCATCTCTCACCCTCCGTACATGTATCAGATATTGTCTCACGCACCCCTTACTGGCATAAAGAGCCATGCAAAAACGGCATGATGCCGCTGTTGATAACTGTATTATTGCGTGTGAACTGAGGCAAGCGTTGAGGGGCAAGTGCTCATAGACTATAGGTGACCGAATATCATCTGTCACTCATATCAAAGTCTGGACACAAAGCTCAACGACGGTGGTAAAGCAGGACAGCAATTTGACTATTACTGGATCTACTACAATATACAGGAAGTCAATGCCAACTAGCAAAACTGCTCATGTACCTGGAACATCCATGCCTATCCCCTTTCATACAACGATGTGTAATACACAACGTAACGCTTGCACATTGATGCACATGGAAGCACGCTCAATACCAACACACACCCTACACGCCGTGTAATCAACATATCTTGTGATCTACAACCCAAACACACTTAACAACACCTTTACATTAAAAAAAAATACCAGAAGCACAAGCTTCTTACACGTCAGACACATAGCCACAGAGAAAAAACAAGCGAACCTTTTGTAGGCCCATCGATGAACAGCCCATCCATCCACCAACGCGCGCGAGGTACCGACGGTTGACGGTGACGGCAACATCCCCAATTCACCCGCGGTGGTGGAACTCAACCACGCCGTACATATAATCGTGCCGACAATTTTGGCTCTTTAACTGACGAGTCTACTTAAGACGCCAAACCCACGCACCGGAACGTGCGCATGTATGATTGCTGCCGTCAAGACGAAGAGCGGCTGTCAAACCGATCGCCGCGCGGCAGGAGGGGCTCCGACATATCCGACATCGTGTCCTCCTTGTCCCCGAGGCCTGTCATCCGGGAAGCCGGCTGCATCAGCGCGGTCGGACTCGCTGCCGGAGCTTCCTTTCGAGATCGGCCACCATCGCTGCTGCTGTCCTCTGCCGGGGTTGCCGTTGATGAGTCGGTGACATCGACGGTGTTGGAGGCCATCATCCCGCCCTCCTCGGCCTCGACGTCCGACGGGTTGGCCGTCGATTTGGGGTCCGCCGAGCCAGTCTCGCCTGCCTTGCGTAGGGCGTACCACGCGATCTGCTCGCCGGAAAAAATACCAAGGCACGAGGTTAACCAACCAGTCCGGCAGAGCGTAGTATTTCCCATCTCAGGCTACGACGTACGAACGTACGTAGATCCTCTTCAACCTACAGCGGCAGGTGTCTGTCTACCGCTGTGTAACCGTTGCATCCACGAACACAAAAAAGAGTCGTTCCTTTTCCGGTCGGACTCACCGCCAACGCCGTTGCGCCGCACCCCGACGAGCAGAAGAGAGGCAGGCCGGGCAGCACGAACCCCAACGCCTTCTCGACGCGGGTCGATACGCCCAGCGAGAATATCTGCCCGTAGAGTACGCCGGCGAGACCCTGCGAAACATTCCGAAGGCACTGCACCGCTCCCTGTAAAAGACAGAAAAGGTGCACAAACAAAGAGACAAGCAGAACCGACCCCTTCCTCAGCAGGTGATTATTGTGTACAACTCTTCCTCCATGGGGGCAAGAAGGACGTGGTGCAGGATTTCTCGGCATGTTCAGTTCGAGAACTAGCAGTGACGTCCAACTGCTTCCTTGTCACAACTGTGCAAGGCCTGGTTGCCCGCACTCCCATCTTCCCTCTCCCCCGGACGCACGTATTGATTTCCATCCCTTCGTTTCATTGCCATGCCCTTTCTCAAGACAGGAATAATTCTCTTCATTCGTAATTGGTCATCGGCCTGCTGGATGCCGGACTGGCCTTGCTTGCCCTTCCAATGAACGGGAGCGCTTGTTCAACTCGCTGCTTGGCTATGCCCTCGCAACCAACTGCTTACCTGCAAGCTCCCCTGTCTGTCTGCGCCGACGTGGTTGGCCATGACGCCTTGGATGCACGGCTCCGTGATGTACTGCAGAACGGTTGCCACCAACACGACATAACACATCCACCCCTGAGAGGCGAGGCCAAACAGAGTCGTCGATGAACTCTGCCAACAACGCAGAAAGAGGGAAGGAAAAGTGAAAAAATCGCAGCGCACCTCCGTGTGTTGCGTGCAAACATGCGCGAGGTATCTATAGAAACAACAACCGGTGGATGTGGTGGTGGCGACCATCCACCCATGAAACGGAGATTCAACCAAGCACCTGCAGCGCTAGACCAATCAGAACGCCTCGTCCCATCGACAACCGCTTCGGCACGAGAAAGCGGATCAGAAGGCCCGACGTCAGCGCCAGCAAGATCCCAAGCGTCGAGAAATACAAGCTGATGTCTAGCGGGCTCCAGTGGTACCGGAAGTCGAAGTAGTTGTAGTACACGCTGAACACGTTCAGGGAGAGGGAGAAGCACGCAAGTACCACAGCCAGCTGCATCAGCTGGCTGCTTGTGCGGTTGGACGACAGCAGGGACAGGTGGCGACGCGGGTGGGATGCAGGGTAGTCAGTGAGTTTGCCGGGCGAGCGAAGGGGGGGGGGTAGGGATCAATAGGCACCTCCCGCGTCGATCCCCACTCTCCCAACCAAGAGGAAAACATCTCACCTGCTCTCGAGGAACACCCTGAGAACCAAAAACGGGTTCACGATTCTCGACGACGAGCCCCTAGCGCAGAATTTTTTCCATCCTCCTTCTGCTCTCGCGTTCGCCGCAGCCCCCCCTGTCCCTTGAGTGGCTGCGGGCGCCGTTTCCTCCCACCCGAAAAACTTGAGCGAGAGCACGCCCAGCACAGACATCGACGCGGACAGCCAGCAAGCCGTGCCCGCGTGGTCCTCCGTGAGAGATCCCCCCAGAACGGGGCCAACGCTGACCGCGAGACCGAACGCGGCGCCGATCAGTCCGAGGCCGTGAGTCACTTCACCGCCTCCAGCAGCCGCCCCCCAGCTGTAAGTCCGAAGGTTAATTTTTTGATAAGGTCAAAGGAAAAGCGGAGGGAGNGGGGGGGGGGGGGGGGGGGGGGGGGGAGGTCACGCGCTTATGCTTATAATTACGTTCGAAAACGAAGGGAGGCGATGCTTGAGTAAATCTATAGCCTCTGCAACACTACAACGTTCCCTCCCAAACATATATATTCAGAGACATGGTAGACTATCCTTATCATTGCAATTCAAGAGGTCGATGGATGTTACGCCGTCAACAGCCACAGAACGCTAATACGGAATGGGACGCAAACACACACAAAACAAATGGCGCAAAAAGCACGGTGTTTATTAAGAGCCAGAACATACTAAGCCAAAAGCATGGCACAAAAGACGGGGGGGCTCGAAACAACAAACGCAAAAACTGTAAACTCACTGAGAAAGGTCGATAATTATCGCCTGGCTGATGGGCAGGATAGCGTTCGCAACGCCCGACACCACCTGGCACAACGACACCACTGTGATGGAGCTCGGGGCGAGCCCTAGGGAGCACGAAGACACGGCGGTGAGCGCCAGGGCGCCGGCGAGGATCGCACGTCGGCCGATGACGTCACTAGCCCCGCAAAGGGTCGGGATAGCGATGAGCTGAACGATGCACGACACGAGAGTCAACCACTATCGGGTTTCGTTTTTTGGAGGCGTAGGGTCGGGGGAAGGGGAGAACGAGGCGGTGAGGGTGAATGAAGCGAGCCTTAGCGTGATGCTGGGCGGGCGTCTGCACAGGCATGGTCGGCGGCAGACCCAAAAAACTGTTAAATAGACGTTACAAGCTACGTCAACGTTGTAGATGCCTGGAAGACAATCAGCAACTGACTCCCTCGCCGCTTGGTGAAACAACGGTGGGTTTCTGTCTTGCTTTTGTGTATACGTGTATGTCTCCATAAGCCTTTTGCACTCACTACTACGTTTGTATCTCTTTCTCATGATTTATCTCTCCGACTTTTGCACTCACCCCGGTAAACCTAGAGGCTTCACCATTGTCGTGATCAAAATGTTCCAGGACCACCTGTGGCACCGAAAACGGGAACAGGAAGCAGGACGAGGAAGAGCGAGAAAAATGACACATTCACTTGGAGGTACAATGTGCATGATCATGGGACCGCAGGAAACCGCGGCATGTGCGGTTTGGTAGAGGTTCATCCGCCGTAGGCGAGAGAACAATTTTGGCTCCCACTACATGGCGGTACGTACGGGGAACCCACAAGTTAGGATTTCGTTTTGTGGTTCAGGATGCGCGCACTTGACAGGCTTTCGGTGCATGGATTGGGCGTGGGACGGTAAGCGGGGGATACTTCGATCGATAGGATAGGATGGGAGGAAGTGAAAACTTGGTGGGGCAAGTTGGGACGAGGAAACGTGCAGCCAGTAGAGCTAACGAGCAGCTGCAAGGATGCCGGGGTGTATTCACCGTCGGGTTTAGCACCGGCCATGCCATTCATTCCCCACGCATACCTACAAACCTACAAACGTGGGGGGTCACGCGTAGTAGTAGTTCACAGAAGATGTGGGTAGAATAATGGATTGAGCCGTTGCTTTTCTTCGGCCGGATTCGAATGGAAATCAATCCGATCTGTGGGGCCAAGGAGCCTCCCGGGTCTTTACCACTACCACGCAAGACACACCACACACACCGCCCGAGGGGATAGAGGTTGTCGCCGTTGCTGCTATGGGAGACTTGCAATAGGTTCGTTCGAAGGTTTAGTTCGTGGTCTGCATGGGCCCTGGCCCCTTTGTCCAAGTATCACAGTGAGATTTGTAGTGGTTGAGGGGGTCGCTCGCGGGCGATGTCCGCGAGGAGGTGTTTCTAGGACCTCTTTGTCTGAAAAAGGAGCTTGGTATGACCACTTTCGTCTGCCGAGTATAAAAAAAAGGATACAACAACGTTACTGCAGAACAGGGGGGCACCCCATGCTGCGTTGTTCGTTGTCATGATAAACAAAACTAGGCCAGAGCCCGTTGTTGAGTAAAGGGGGTGCGAGACGGGCGTGGCTTCATTCTTCAACGCAAGAAAAACCAACACTTGCCTCGCTCACGTTTACCCATGAAAAAGCGCTTCCCACCACACAAGTACGAGGCGGGGGTACCGATGTCAAAAATCCAAAAATGTGCTGACCTACCCGTTTGTTTGGTGCTGGATGCGGCATGCATGTGTTCTGGCCTCAGCGCAGGTCTGAACCGCTTTTTGGTCCCGGAGTTCATGCCCGGACACGAAGTTATAACAGGACGATCCAAAAACCCTCGGTTTGATTGGGTGAAATGATGAAAGGACCATACATGCATATGTTTTTTCACCTGCAAATCCAGCAAGCCAACTCCGGGTCGGAACAAGCGGACTCTCTTCTAGATTAAAGCAAAAATCATTTAATCGAGAGCGGAGTTGAGCGAACCGCAACCGGACTTCCCAAAAGGCGGTCTACTCGAGGTAAGATGGCAAACTATCTCCTCTGAGAAAGGACAAACGGCACAACTGCCATGTGCTGCTGCTGCTGTCATTGTGGCGCTCTAGCCTAGTTGTCACACGGCACGGGGGAGAGTCCACACTCGCACACCACACACTCAACGGGCTCCACAGCCGACCCGTGAGCACAAACACATGTTTCTTCGTCGCATGCTGACCAACAGGAGCTCGACAATAAACGGCATGCAGCTGCTGCCACCAGTCAGTATGGATAAGCCCCAGCATTTGCCGCCGCCGCTCCCTATGACGTTTCCCCCCTCCCTCCGAGGTTTGTGTCAGAGGTACTCCCAGTTTGTGCTAGAGGATGTCCCGGGCCCGCGCAGCTCAGGCAACTCGCTGGCCGCAGCCCCATGTCCATATCTCCACACAGCCACACAGCAGCAGCTGCAAACCAGCGCAACCTCAACCATGACCCATGTTGGATGTACGCACAGCTTTGACAGATTAGTGCAACCGAGGAACGTTCTGAGAAGATGGAGCGGGGAATGTTGGGGGTTCCGCAGTTGTGATAAATTGGGGGAATGGTGGTACCATCTTTGCCACATACAGTCGTCCCCGCTTTAAAGACGCATAGCGTTTTTTTCAAAGCGTCTTTAACGCGGGGAATCGTCTTTAAGATTCCGGGGACGATAACGCACCACCCCTGGGGCCGATGGAGGCATAACATACATCAAAAGACGCGCCGTTGCAACACGTAACTTATAACGAAACCAGGATCCATAAATCTGACCGCTCACAACGTAGCCGTGGTTGAAAGTGGAATGCACTATATATATATTTATATATTATAAACCATGTTTTAAGTTACCGCGCCACCGCCCGCAATAATATGCTCCCGACATGTGAGTTGTTGCGGGATATAGTTTTGTTATGACTGCAGTGCACTCTCTCGGTTGTGTGGCGACTGCTGCCTGCTGTGTTGTTTTTATTTTCTTCTCGTTTTCCTGATGTTGAAAACCTCACCGACACATCCTTCACCACAGCGGTTCCAACTTTGACACGATACTTCAGTATATCCTAAGCGATAGAGACACAAACACCCTACACACGAAACTCAGATGGACATCAACGCTAAATTATCGGTGAAGATGAAGCAATAAAAAAAAAGAGCCCATCGCTGTATGCCCTCCGAAAAAAAAAACTATCGCCCCCACATATCGCCAAGAGTGGCCTGCACCTCACCCCCCTGCTTCGCTCTTCGGTTGACTTGAGTTTCGTGAGTGAACGAATGCACAGTCCTCGAAAGAAGGTACAGCGTTTCGCTGTACTCGCCGTCCTTCCCTTTCGCATTCAAAAAGGAGCGGCACTCCTCGAGGCGAAAGCGGACGTCGGCCTCTGTAAGCGACGTTGTCACGCACGACTCTGACCTACCGTCGTCGTCTTCCTCTTCGCTGGGTACATCGTCATCGAGGGTTACGCCGGCCAGTTGCTCGTCTACAGCCTGCAGTTCCATTGCTATTTCTTCCTCCAACACCTCTGGGTCGTCCTCTACACTAAGCCACGTCTTTACTGCCTGACGCACTTCAGCGTCCGTGAGGCCTGAGGCTTTCTCGACGAACAAGTTGTCCGTCAACACTCGCGCCGTGGATCTAGAGTCCGTGGC